ACACTTTACCTGCCCTCCCACTACCCACACTTTACCTGCCCATCCACTACCCACACTTTACCTGCCCACCCACTACCCACCCTTTACCTGCCCTCCCACTACCCACACTTTACCTGCCCATCCACTACCCACACTTTACCTGCCCACCCACTACCCACACTTTACCCACCCACCCACTACCCACCCTTTACCTGCCCTCCGGTTACCTGATCACCTGTTACCCACCCACCCGTCATCTGCATTATTCCAGATATTTCTTATTTCACTGTCATGACCGGACGAGCAAGGGTGCCCTGACAACATCAGCACCAATAAACCATCAATCACAACAACAGAATACCTCTCGACACCATCAAACAAAAACACAACACACAGTTAACTTTCTCCTTTATCAACTTGACACGTCTAAATATTCCACACAGAAACATGTTCCCCTTCAGTGATCTGAGAGAAGAATTTCTTTCTCTCAACAACCCCCAGCCAATCTCTGTTCCAGATCTCATACCACCATAGACCATGTTGTATACGGAGTACATAGCATCTTACATCGCCCACATACCATGTTGTATACAGAATATATAGCATCTTACATCGCCCACATACCATGTTGTATACAGAATATATAGCATCTTACATCGCCCACATACCATGTTGTATACAGAATATATAGCATCTTACATCGCCCACATACCATGTTGTATACAGAATATATAGCATCTTACATCGCCCACATACCATGTTGTATACACAATATATAGCATCTTATATCACCATAGACCATGTTGTATACAGAGTACATAGCATCTTATATCACCCACATACCATGTTGTATACAGAATATATTGCATCTTATATCATCCACATCCCATGTTGTATATGGAATATATTGCATCTTATATCACCACAGACCATGTTGTATACGGAATATATTGCATCTTATATCACCCACATACCACGATGTATACAGAATATATTGCATCTTATATCATCCACATCCCATGTTGTATATGGAATATATTGCATCTTATATCACCACAGACCATGTTGTATACGGAATATATTGCATCTTATATCACCCACATACCACGATGTATACAGAATATATTGCATCTTATATCACCCACATACCATGTTGTATACAGAATATATTGCATCTTATATCACCACAGACCATGTTGTATACAGAATATATAGCATCTTACATCGCCCACATACCATGTTGTATACTGAGTACATAGCATCTTACATCGCCCACATACCATGTTGTATACAGAATATATAGCATCTTACATCGCCCACATACCATGTTGTATACAGAATATATAGCATCTTACATCGCCCACATACCATGTTGTATACAGAATATATAGCATCTTACATCGCCCACATACCATGTTGTATACAGAATATATAGCATCTTACATCGCCCACATACCATGTTGTATACAGAATATATAGCATCTTACATCGCCCACATACCATGTTGTATACAGAATATATAGCATCTTATATCATCCACATCCCATGTTGTATACACAATATATAGCATCTTATATCACCATAGACCATGTTGTATACAGAGTACATAGCATCTTATATCACCCACATACCATGTTGTATACAGAATATATTGCATCTTATATCATCCACATCCCATGTTGTATATGGAATATATTGCATCTTATATCACCACAGACCATGTTGTATACGGAATATATTGCATCTTATATCACCCACATACCACGATGTATACAGAATATATTGCATCTTATATCACCCACATACCATGTTGTATACAGAATATATTGCATCTTATATCACCACAGACCATGTTGTATACGGAATATATAGCATCTTATATCACCACAGACCATGTTGTATACGGAATATATTGCATCTTATATCACCCACATACCACGATGTATACAGAATATATTGCATCTTATATCACCCACATACCATGTTGTATACAGAATATATAGCATCTTATATCACCACAGACCATGTTGTATGCAGAATATATAGCATCTTATATCACCCACAGACCATGTTGTATACAGAATATATTGCATCTCTCTCTACCCAGGTCACGGTTTGGTCCATTGGCTATTGAAACAATGATTTAAAGATGTCCTGAGACTTTGACAACATCAGCACCAATAAACCATCAATCACAACAGCTTAACAACAGATTTTTACAGTTTTGAAGAACAATGTTTAATAGAAACTAACAAGATCGTGCAATTGTCCTGAGGCTATTTCTCTCTCCTAAAAGCTGCAATGCCCCTCCTAACTGCCATGCATGTCACTCTCAATTACCCCTCTCAATGTCACACCATCTCAGTGTCCAACACACCTTTCTCAATTTCGAAAAATCCCCTTCAAATGCCCGATACATGCATCAATGCCCCTCCACCCTTTCTCAAGTTCACCCTGCTCTCTTAAACCTCAACTCACCTTTCAGCCCCCTTAGTTGGCCCCCCCAAAACCCTTTTGGCATTTTTTCCAAATCTCAAAATTTCCAAAATTCTTTATAAGCAACCACTAAAACACCTTTACTGGATTGCCAAACAACTTTTTCCCCTTTTCGGAAACACATTAAATGGCCTGTCCGGGCCCGTGTGCGAAATACGCTGCAGTTGGAAAGCGCACGTAAAATCTCAAATATAAGTAAGTAAGTAAGTTTCAGTGATTAATATCCCCACTCTCCCACATCCACCCTCAAATGCTCCACCACAAATTGATATAAATCAAATCAAAATTTCAATCCAGATTAATAAAACACCAGTGAGTGATGCTGCTTTGAGTGAGTGAGTGAGTTGGGTTAAACGCCGCTTTTAACAGTATTCCAGTTATATCATGGCGTGTCAGCATAAAGTGATGCAGATCTCCGACGTTTACTATTTGGGTGAAACCCACGAGCACGGGTATGGTGCTGACAAACCTAGAAACATAATAGGGGTGAACCAGGATTCGAACCCACAATCATAGGATTCTGGCGTGCCCAAGAGACGCAACTCTGCACAGCAAACTACACCTTAGACGACTGGGCCACCCGTGCCCCCCCCCCCCGTGTTTACAGATCTAATTATTTATTTATTATACATTCTGTATACTGCACTTATCCAGGTACTAGTATCTACTCAAATGTGAAAATGACCAGTGACCACAATACTGGTTTTCTTTGAAGAAATCTATGCATAGAATATATTTATATTTTTAGGGATATTTCAAGGTATGTAAATGCACATGACTGCATATAAAATTTTTTTGATTCTAGTGACCACGAATAACAAATTCAATTCATGAATAGATATGGTGTCGATTCACCGAATACGCGAGAGAATCGTAATAGCCCTACTAAAGAGACATATACACGATCAGTGTTATAAAAGTGTTTTACTGATCTATTACAAACTGCAGGTGAATCCCCTAGACTAACATTAAGTCTCTGAAATCTTATATAACACAATATCCTTCTTGACTCTAAAAATAAAAAAAATTCCCTATGCTGATTTCAGAATAGAGCTAGCTTGAGCTGGCTAGACTTGCTTTTGTATGCATTTCTAGATTATTATTTTTTCATAAAATAAATATATTCCACGGTCATGGTGCAGGACTAGTGAATCCCCCTTCCCCTCCCTCCCACAGACAACCAATGAAGCATGGGTTCTGACCTCTCCCTCACCTTGTAACAGTACCCCCTTGTCCCCCCCACCCCCCAGATCTGTATGCCATTATCAGGGGGTAGCCCACATTGTCGTCACCCCAGAGCCATTGTCTCCGTGTTTACACTCAACCAATTACTTTCCATGGACCCATAATGAACACCACAGTTTAGCACTGTCAATATTTAGGGAACAGTGAGTTGGGTTTATCTTACAAAAGAGAGACTGGTTTCAATAACATTGAGTATGAGAAACATATAAGCTAACAAGCTCAGATCTGATTGAGAAAATTGGTGTTATCACTTCCAAATCCTTGTTTGGACACAAAATTATTTGTTCCAACTTCATCAACAAATAAAACAAGTCATCAAGAAGGGGCTTTTGGGCATATGGTTCAGAAAGCAGTAACTAAAATTGGTGCTATCTGCTTCATATAAATCTTAACCCATCATTAATACAAGGAACAACTATGAATAATTAACCTAATTAACGACGATTTCACTTGATGGCTGCCAACCAGACTACCTCACCCAAGGGAGCAGCAGGTATGTCAACTGATGTATGTATGTTTGTTTGTTGTTTAATGCCACACTCAGCAATATCCAAGCTGTATGACGGCGGTCTGTAAATAATCGAGTCTGTACCAGAAAATCCAGTGATTCACATCATGAGCATCGATCCACACAATTGGGATACGATGACATGCATGAACCAAGTCAGCGAGCCTGACCACCCGTTTATTCGCCTCCAACAACAAGAATAGTCTCCTCTACGACACTAAGATGAGGGGGAGATAACTCTTACCTTCTACCACCAGCTTTATGAGTTGTGATATGGCCCCCCACTAAGATGAAGGGAGATAACTCTTACCTTCTACCACCAGCTTTATGAGTTGTGACATGGCCCCCCACTAAGATGAGGGGGAGATAACTCTTACCTTCTACCACCAGCTTTATGAGTTGTGACATGCCCCCCCACTAAGATGAAGGGAGATAACTCTTACCTTCTACCACCAGCTTTATGAGTTGTGATATGGCCCCCCACTAAGATGAAGGGAGATAACTCTTACCTTCTACCACCAGCTTTATGAGTTGTGATATGGCCCCCCACTAAGATGAAGGGAGATAACTCTTACCTTCTACCACCAGCTTTATGAGTTGTGATATGGCCCCCACTAAGATGAAGGGAGATAACTCTTACCTTCTACCACCAGCTTTATGAGTTGTGATATGGCCCCCCACTAAGATGAAGGGAGATAACTCTTACCTTCTACCACCAGCTTTATGAGTTGTGATATGGCCCCCCACTAAGATGAAGGGAGATAACTCTTACCTTCTACCACCAGCTTTATGAGTTGTGATATGGCCCCCACAGAGTTACTGAAAGTACACATGTATATTCCACCGTCATCCCGCTGCACGTTGCTGATCTTCACATCCTTGTTCTCCACACGCACACGCAATGAATCTTGCAAAGGGCGTCCATCTTTGTACCACGAGAGGGTCGGTTTGGGAGATCCTTTCCCGCGACAGAAGAGTGTGATGGACTCGCCTCTCCGATGTTGAAGTAGTTTCCGGGAGCTGGCAATTATCCTGGGAGGAGCTGGAACAAAACGGAAGTTGTGAAATTGTCTGCCAGAGTATTTAGTGTCATCAATGTTAAACACAGCGTTTACTGTTCGTGTTAAGTATACTAGGGCTGGGACGGGTACTCAGGTCGGGTGGGTACTGAGTAGGACCTGGGAACCCACAGGACTACCCGGACCCATGGTTAGTCACGTGATTATATTGTTTAATGACAAAAATTATCTGGACCCCTATGGTTACACTATGAGTGACAAATGTTCACATTTCTTTACGACTATGCACACATTCCTTCTGACTTTATGTTTGCATAAAGATAAAACTGTTTGTTTGTTTATTGTTTAACACCGCACTCAGTAATATTCCAGCTATATGACGGCGGTCTGTAAATAATCGAGTCTGGACCAGACAATCCAGTGATTGACAGCATGAGCATCCATCAACCAAGAGATAAAACTGAAGTCAACTTCAGTGTATGCATGACCAGATCATTTTATACCTGTATCTAACTACATTTTGACAGGTGTACGGTCAAACGTTTTCCAATCGGACATTTGAACCTATCCCTTGAGACCTACAGTGGGTACCCGGGTAGGGTCGGGTAATAGGGGGGTGGGTACCCGCGTAATAAATTTGGACTCATCCCAGCCCTAACATAGCATGTCAATGACGCCACTCAAACACAGGTGAGAAATATATATCAGTTATATCACAGTATATCAGCTAAATGTAGTATATGTGTGTCTGTGTGGCTGCTTATACTAGTTCAACCCGTGAAGATTCCGGGGTAGAATAGGTCTTCAGCAACCCATGCTCGCGGTAAAAAGCGACTATGCTTGTCATAAGAGGCGACTAACGGGATCGGGTGGTCAGGCTCGCTGACTTGGTTGATGCATGTCATCGATCCCAATTGCGTGGATTCATGTTCAATCACTGGATTATAGACTTGATTATTTACAGACCGCCGTCATATAGCTGGAATATTGCTGAGTGCGGCGTTAAACAACAAACAAACCAAGCTTATACTAGTTCAGACTAATGTTGGTCAAATAGTGCTATGTCACATGAATGTTTTCTGACTGAGCCAACCAGTCCTTGTGTCATCCACCTAATGCCAATGTCAGGCAAGGTAACAACAAGAACCATCTTTTAACGTCTTTTGGCATGACGCGGCCGGGGGTCCAACCTTGACCTTGATGAACACCAGATCCTGACATGGCTAAGGGACACAACTCTGCTACTTGGTGCCCTGCTATATTTTAGTCACTAGTGGTTTGGGTCATGGGTCTAGTTTCTGATGCAGATGCTGAACAAAGGGTTTGTTTGTTTGTTTTATGCTGTGCTCAGAAATATTATATATATGACAGCTGTGTGTAAATAATTGAGTCTGGACCAGATAACCCAGTGATTGACATCATGACCATCAATCTATGCAATTATTACAATGACATGCATCCAACCAGTCAGTTAGCCTGACCACCCGGTCGCCCTTTACGACAAGCATAGTCGCCTCTTATAATAACAAGTGAGTGAGTTGAGATCCATGTTGTTAAATAGTACCCGCAATGACCAATGAGAGGCTTCGATACATTATTCAAGTAAGTGTCTTTGATTGACCAATGAGAGGCTTCGATACATTATTCAAGTAAGTGTCTTTGATTGACCAATGAGAGGCTTCGATACATTATTCAAGTAAGTGTCTTTGATTGACCAATGAGAGGCTTCGATACATTATTCAAGTAAGTGTCTTTGATTGACCAATGAGAGGCTTCGATACATTATTCAAGTAAGTTTCCTTGATTGACCAATGAGAGACTTCGCCACACTTTTCAAGTAAGTGTCTTTGATTGACAAATTAAATGCCAAATTAGAAAATTACATTAACATCACTGGAAGACTTCTGAAAAGGTCTTGCGGATCACTAGTCGTATTTAAGGTGAAAAGAAAAATTTAAAAAACCTGCAGTGATGGAAAACAATTACAAAAGCTTCACATTTTCAAAGAAATTCAGTCACGGGAGAAGACAGCTGGAGAATCAGACAACCCTCTTTGATCCCGAACTCAAAGCCTAATTAACAAGACTAGTTACAAAAGAAGTTCCCATTATCAATGACAGTCCACAGCATTCAAAGATATCATCTGTCATTGTAAAATGTCGACTCATGATCGGATTAAATGAAGTAAAATTACAATATCCTTTTTTCAAAGTAGTTTGATTTTACAAAGGCAGAGTTAAGAAAATTAGTTTCTCACAAAAATAATAACCGAAATGTAATCAGAAGATGAATTGATGCCCACAATACAGAAATCTGGATCTAACAGGACCTGGATCTCTAGCCACGGAGATCAACTCTGTGATGTTATGACAACAACAGGGATTTGAATTATTAAGACAAAAAATATATATTTTATAGGTCACACGAAAAAAACATAAATCGTACCTTTTTTTTAAAAAAAAATCCAGTTTAGCAATAAACCTTTTACAATACGCTTTATTAATATTTTAGCTGATGACATTTTGAGAAAAACTTTGTACAAATTACTCTAGAAAGTTTTCAGTGTTTTCACAGAGAAGTTCCAAATTGCACAGAACTTGGCAAGGGAGGTAACTCTGTTCTGCCTAAAGTCCTGGAAAGGAGCAGACTGTTTCAGCAGACCGGTACAGATGGCTCAGATAATAAATATCTATGCTTCACTCACAAACATCACCATTAATAGTACAGAAAGCACAACTTCTTTTTAGTCATTCAATCTAGGCAAGCAGAGTTTATTATGTAGGTATTAACTCATAAAATTCACAAAATTACATCAATTTACAACATTTGGAGTTTGTTAGTTTTTTTTATTTGACAAGGCTTTTGGCAATATTCCAGCAGAAGGAGACACCAGAAATTGGCTCCACATATGGCATCAGATCTGGGAATCAAACCTAGGCATTTTCCGTGACGAGGCAACGCTTTACCCACTGGGCTATCCTCCTCCCCCTTAGTTTCAGATAAACAAAGGGGCGTTGGCGCAGCCTAGTGGTTAAAGCATTCGCTCGTCACGCCGAAGACCCGGGTTCGATTCCCGACATGGGGACAATGTGTGAAGCCCATTTCTGGTGTCCCCCGCCGTGATATTGCTGGAATTTTGTAAAAGCGGCGTAAAACCATACTCACTCACTCAGATAAACAATGTCAACAAGAACTGAAAGGTGAATCATGTGTTTTGGTAAGGTTGCTGCTTCAAGACATACCATTTCTTTCTTTGGAAGGCGGAGCCGAACAGTTATTCTTACCAAACAATTTGTTCAGGATGTATGCAAACAAGCTTTGGTTCCGTGTGTATAGCGAAACTTTCACTAACATTTGTTCCTTTGGAGGTGCATATGACGTCTAGTTTTGGTGCCTACCACACTGGAACTTGTTCCTGTCACACTGGAACTTGTTCCTGTCAACTGGAACTTGTTCCTGTCACACTGGAACTTGTTCCTGTCAACTGGAACTTGTTCCTGTCACACTGGAACTTGTTCCTGTCAACTGGAACTTGTTCCTGTCACACTGGAACGTTCACACACATATGTTTTACCTTGTGAAACTGTCAAGTGTTTAAAAGAGACAGATTTTGTGACAGGGCTATATTAAAAATTGGGGACTGGTTATTCTTTTTAAGTGAAAAAGAAATTGTGTGTAAAAACCTTTTCGGGAATAATTTATTTTTTTTATTATCAAATTCCCACAATATCAAACGGTCAACACTAAGAATATGATCATTTACAGATCCATGGAACTTTATTTGGAGAAGCTCTCATAAAATATTCCCTACACCATCAGCTCTAGCAGCAGTGAACGTCAGTGAGCAGCACATTCAATAGAACATGGCTGATCAAGGTAAAAACTATTCCACATCTGACTTGTGACTTTATCTCACAAACAAACAGGATAATTAGGACCAAGATATGAAACCAGTGCTGCTAGAAAGCTGTAATAGTATCTGTGCTTCGAGAGATCTGTTTCCCATCTCCCTTGCGGGGATAGTATTGCAAAGCTGGTGCCTCGTTTAACTGAAGTTTTAAATTTGTTTACTTCCCAAGTCCATATATTTGGCTTTGCCAGCCATTGCGATGTGAAACTGTGACATGGAACCAGCTTGCTATGGTGTCACGGATCAGTTTCCTCTAAGCCCCCAGTCTATTGCGCATAAATCTGTCTGCTTTCTTACAAAGGTGGTCTACTGGGAATTTCAGATAAAGGACAAAGCTTGCGATATACAAAACCATTGTAATCCTTTTGATGCATTATGTTTGCCGCAAGGGAAAACAATTTACCATCACAAAAAGGACTGAAAACTTCTCTCAAGTCATCACCCATCCACATCACAACCATCAGCGGCTCTGATCATCATCATTATCAAAACGATCACAATCATGATCATGATCATCACCATCATCATCATCATAATCCAAACAATCACAATCATCATCATCATCATCATCATCAGCATCACGATTATTAGCTGCTACAGCATCATCATCACGATCAAAATGACCATCATCATCATCATCATCATCACGATTATTAGCTGCTACAGCATCGGCATCACGATCAAAATGACCATCATCATCATCATCACGATTATTAGCTGCTACAGCATCGGCATCACGATCAAAATGACCATCATCATCATCATAACGATTATTAGCTGCTACAGCATCAGCATCACGATCAAAATGACCATCATCATCATCATAACGATTATTAGCTGCTACAGCATCGGCATCACGATCAAAATGACCATCATCATCATCATAACGATTATTAGCTGCTACAGCATCAGCATCACGATCAAAATGACCATCATCATCATCATAACGATTATTAGCTGCTACAGCATCGGCATCACGATCAAAATGACCATCATCATCATCATAACGATTATTAGCTGCTACAGCATCAGCATCACGATCAAAATGACCATCATCATCATCACGATTATTAGCTGCTACAGCATCAGCATCACGATCAAAATGACCATCAT